GGCATTTGGGGGGCAGAGAGATTTTCCTGCACACTTGGGGCAGTCCCCAGGGGTGCAGAAAAATCTGAAAAGTTTAAAAAACTATATGGGGGATACTTAAATCCCCCCAAAAGTAAAAGAGCGTTCCCTGTGCATGCACAGAGAACGCCTTGGCAACTGTCTCGCTGTGGCCACCACGGGGGGGGGATTTACGGGCCGGTGGCTGTGAGCCACTCAGGCCTCGCTGCCACCACGGAGGGGGACGGGAGAAAGCTTGGCGGGCTGGTGGCTGTGAGCCGCTCAGGCCTCGCCACCACTGGGGGGGAGTGGGAGAAGGCTCGGCAGGCCTGAGGGAGAAGGATTGGTGGGCCCAGCGGCTGGGAGCCACGTGGGCCTTGCCATCAGTGCAGGGGGGGCGGGGGAGGATTGGCAGCCCTGGTGGCTGGGAGCTGCGTGGGTCTCGCCATCAGTGCGGGGGTGGGGGAGAAGGCTCACCTGTGTCTGCTTCCTCCTCCTCCACGTAGAGCTCCTTCTCCCCCCCCCGCAAGTATCGCAGGTCCCCGCTTCTTGTACCTTCTCCTAATAATCATCAGTGAAGAAGCCATTCAAACCTCCCCCAGTAACTTTAGTGACACCACTGAAGAGACCTAGAGGGGAGTTCAAGTGGGATGTGGTGTCACTCAGGTACTTCAGTTTCTTCTAGACTTTATGGTAAACCATGTAATTTGCCCTTTGAAGTTACAATTTCCTCCTGGGGGAACTGATCTCTGGAGTCTGGAGATCAGTTTTAATTCCAGGAGAACTCTCGGTACCACCTTGAGTTTAATAACTGCAATTAGCTAGAAGGGAGAACGTGTGCCTTTCTTACACCCACTCTTCATCATGTACCCAAAATACTCTGCTCTGCCCACTGAGTGTACAGGTTGGCAGTGGCCATGCTTAGGAGTGAGACATTTCAGTGATGTAAACCCCCCCCTTTTTTTTTTGGTTTCCTAGGAAAAACAAAGACATGGCATGATGGGAGTGGCGTCTGAGCAGAGGAGTGCTTTTGTGGGCCAGCAGATGAATCAGTTCCCTGGTAAGAAGCGAAAAGGGTATGCTCTCAGAGGCTTGAACTTTTGTGTCCCGTCTAATTCAAGGATTCCAAGGAAACACAGGAATAAATAAAGACTATCTGTCCTGTTTAAGGTTACAAATCCAGCATTTCCTCCATTACTAAGCTACTTAAACTAGACTGCTTTTGATAAGAAAAGCTCCTCTAGAATGAAGAGATGACACACCAAAGCCTATATTGACATTTATCATGTTTTTGTAGTGGCCACCATGTTGTGAATTCTGCAACCATGGAACTCTGCACAGCAACACTAAATCTGCAACACTAAATGCAGTTGCTGAGTTTTGTGAGCTGGAGCTGAAACTTGGCATTCCAAAAAGTTGTTCAAAGCAGTTCACACGTTGAGATAAGGAATTCAGCAATGAGTTGAAGACACTTGTGTGCCAGTTGTGACTGACTTATCAGTAGTAGAACATGAACGATAATTCTCTTGTTCTAAGTAAACTGAAAAACTATTAAAGTGGATTGCAGCAATGAAATTTGAAGTATGTTTCTACCATGACTAAAGGACAGGTTCTTGCTTAGTCTTCCCCTGACAAGCTGGATTTTTTTTTTTACTATGGAGAGGCATTCAACCACTGATTTTTCCCACCTGAAGTGGTATACTTTTGGGGAGCAGCAGTGGTACGTGGAAGAGCATCTGCTTTGCATGCAGAAGGCCCCAGATTCAGTTCCCAGCATCTCTAGTTTTAAAAAAGGATCAGGTAGTAGGTGATGTGAAAACCAAATACCTGTGAAAACCTAAGACCCTGGAAAGCTGCTGCCAGAGTAGACAATACTGACCTTGATAGGTGAATCAACTGACCCCAGTATAAGACAGCTTCGTGGGTACCCCGGCTAGAGTTGATTTTGCTGATCATTTAACCTGGCTGCAAAGCATTTCTACATGGCTGTGCTTGGAGCATATTGGCATTGCTTTGCCTTCAGCAGAGGTAAAGTAGCTCGGGCCAACTCAGGCCCATAGCTCACGTGGGGCCCACAGGGCCCGCCCCCCACGGGTTTTGTGGGGCCCCTCCCCGATCCTCTGCTCCCCCTCCCCCCGGCCCGAAGATGACGAGAGGCTGGCGGCGGCGGCACTGGAGGCCGAGGCGGCGTTAAGGGGCTTGAGGGGCAGAGCGGCCTCCCCTCCTCCTCCTCCCCTTCATTCTGCATGCAGCGGCGTGACTCCTTCCCCCCCCTCCGCCCCAACCCCGCAGACTCCGTTTTCAGGAGCGGGCAGCGGCTTTGTTGTCGTCCTGTGGGAACATCCCACTAGCGGGGAAACAGAGGAGGCAGCCGGGGAGTCACAGTCTCCAGTTGCCTCCCGGGGGTTGTCGCTGGGAAGAGAGAGCCGATCCCTGCTGGGGCTCCCGCCCCGCCCTTTGCACAAACCTCTCGCGCCTCTCCTAGGGAAAGGGGGGGTCAGTGCAAAACAACACGGAACGAAGTGGGCAATCGTGGCATGGAGAGGGCGGCCCACCCACCCGCCTGCTCCTCTTGCCCTCGCCTCCCAGACGAGAGAAGCAAGCAACCGGCAAAACGTCTAACCCGGTAAAGAAAGGCAGGCGTTTCCCTGGGTTTTGCTTTAACTGTAGAAGTAGCAGCCCCTGGAGAAGTAGCAGCTGGAGAAGACTCTTGAGAGAAGCGGCTGCATTTAGACGGGGCTCTTCCTCGGAGCCGGTGAGGTGTTTCCCCTTGTATGGTCGTGGCTCCGCCCAGCGTGCCGGCGTCATTACGTCACTTCTGGGTGATGTGTGTGCGGCGCGCGCGCTTTGCACGTGCACGCACACACACACTCGGCCCCTCCACTTTCCCCAGGGCCTCCCCCACTAGAAAGGTCCTAGCTACGGGCCTGGGCCAACTCCAGCAAAAGTATTTATGTAATGTATATTTACATAATGTATTGTGCTCAGAAAAATTTAAATGGGTGGGGATATTATCCCCGAGTCACTCAGAAGTCTGTACACTTGCTAACACGAATGCCTTCCTCATTTCCACACAGCTGTCTCCCAGCCCATGCCGACTGACTGCAGCCAATCCATGCAGACTCCTCCTCCAAACCACCGCATAATGCCGTCCGCTCAGGGGATCTTGCAGAATGCCTTGGGCTCTGGGATGACTCCTGCTGCTATGAACCAGAACAGCGGGGCAATGGTGATGATGCCTCATAACCCCAGCAAACAGCCAGGAATTTTCTCACCCAGTTCTGATTACAATCTCCCTCTCCGGCCAAGCCCAAACTCTCTGGCCATGAATTCAGGATGCCAAACAGTTCACAGCCATCCTGTGGCTCGGCCAGGCCTGGCATTGTCCGGCTTTAGCACCGGCTCCTTAGTGAATCCTCCACCTGCCCAGCAGCACTTGAGACAGCCATCCATGCCAAGAATTCCTAACGTCTATTCCAACTCATCTGCACAGATGTGGACACCAACAGGGGTACCAAGGATGCCAAATCAAAGCCAAATGGATGCCAGCATGCAGCAGTTCGCCAGTAGCCCCCTCTTCTCAAAACAGAACACGAGGCCAAACATCCCAGGTCAACCATTCTCTCATCAGGCTGTGGTTCCACCCAATCAGATTGCTCCTGGAGTCCAGGCCAGGCAGATGCAGAAAGTCAGTCTTGGACAGTCTGGCCCCAACATGGCCATCCTGAACAATCAGAACTTGAGACACAACTTAACCAGAGGACCTTTGCCAACGGCAATGAATGTTATGAAATCAATGCCACAAGGCGTATCTGGTTTTAACCAGCTGAGTCCCGCTCAAGCCGTTGGCCCACCAACCTATCCTGGTTCCACTGGCCAGCCGACAGGGACATTCAGCCGAATGAGCACCGCCTCTGAGCTACCACCACAGTATGACTTTGTGGCCCAGCCGAACAATTCCATTTTGCCTGGGAATTGCAGCGATGCAGACTTCATTGACTCTCTGATGAAGAACAGCAGCAGTGGCGGGACTGATGAAGACTGGCTAAATAACTTGACAATGATAGACGACATTTTGGGACAGCATGTTCAAAGCTCTGGCCACGTGTAACGTTTTAGGGAAATGGAGGGAAATGTAAATAGTTTGTGCAGGAACCTTCAACAAGAAGTAACATGAAAAGAAATCCTCCCCCCCATCATTCATGGATGGAAGAATAAACTTGTCCAACTAACTCTTCACCTTTGTCCCAGGTTTTTCAGACGACTGTACATATATTTGAATATTTTGTAAATTATGTTTTCCTAAACATTAAATATGGAAGTATTTATACTTCTTTGCTGGATTCTTTGTAAATACCCTATAGACTACTCCTCTTTGTTATATTATAGGAAATGAATTACACTTCGTTCTAAATATGCAAATATTATTGTTAGTTTCAGTAATACTGTGTATTACAGCATCAAATATTTTATGTTTTTGACATAACACATGAACTAGGGGTGTCGTGGCAAACTGAATAACACAGGAAGCAAGCATGGCGAGATTCCGTATTTCCCTGTTCCCTTAGCACAGATTGATGTGACTGGTCAACTGAATGACAAATCCATTTTGATCTTGCAAATGAGAATTGATCCCTTCCAGTCCCAGAAATTTACCCACACAAATTAGTTAATAAACTATCTTGTTGTGGCAAGCTGCTATCTATGCCAGATGGAAGACTCTTGCTGCCATTGACCTATGGCTGGTTCACATGTGCACGTTTGGGACAATGGAAGCCATGATGTGCAAGTGTGAATGAGCCATTTAATTCCAAATGCAACTGACAGAATTTGAGAATGGCTGGTTTGTTTTCCAAGAAGTGTCTGTGCTCATACATTGATCTACAAGTTAAGTGATAGATGTCTCTGTGGGAAATGGCCCCCTGGATCATAAGGCTGTTGAACTGGGAGGGCAAAGCAATGAGGTTCAGTTGTGCAACATCCTTAACATCTGAAGAGCGCAAAAGTCTGCCTAGACAGCTCTTATCATTCAGTGGATAACCCTTCCTGGGTTGCCTTCCTCGACAATGTATATTTGTAGTGTACAGGTGATTTGTTCCTGGTTTTAAACAATTTTCGTATTTTCTTCTCTGTTTTTAATATGAGGCTCTTTTTTCTTCTCCCAGAGGAAAGAAAGTCTATAAACGCAAATAGCTTAACTTTGGATGTTTTTTCTGTCATATGTATATTTAAAAGTCTGTTTATAAAAGAAATCCGTTGTACTGTAAACTTCTACGGAAATGTTCATACTTTGTGTAATCATATTTTAATAGCCACGTCATCCTCCATTTGTAAAATAATGTCCACTTCAAGCACACCAAACTGTTTTTTCCTTCATACCATAATAAACTGCCAGGGAAAAATTGCTCTCGTTGCATGTGTTCATTTGTTTTGGTAGATGCAGCACTTTTTAAAAATAGAATACCTGCAACGTTGACTTGAATGAAAGTAAGGAACTTTACAGGCATCTGCTATTTTTGGATGAGAGCTGGATCACAAGCTCTTGCAGCTCTTTGGGGAAAATTGAATCGTTGTTGCTAGAAAAGTGCAAGAGAGCAATCCCATCATAACATATTTTTTTTTGCTTGTGCATTTATTTTGAGAAGGTATTCTGTGAGCACAAGCGCTCAAGGGACTTCCATCAGAATATCTGCAGAATTGTCAACCCCCCCCCTCCTCGAGGCTACAAGGCTTCCTTTCTTCCTTTGCAAGTCTCCATATGCTCAGTTCTAAGTTTCCAGTTTTTCAGTGAACCTCTGTGGTTGTCCTAAGGTCAGCTTGATCCATGGACATTCATATTTCTAATTACCTTCACATTATAAAAAGCATTGCCTGCTGATTTCCTTCCAGATTTTAATAAAGGCACAGGAGCAGGTCATACCAGTCCCCCTCTGCCCCCGGTCAGTTGCTAACGCTATTCTTTGCTTTTAAATTAAAGCAAATGAGGCTTGATTCATACATTAGCATGCACTTAACAGTATTTATTTATTTAGATATTTATGCCCAGGTTTCCCCTCTCAGTGGGGACCTGAAAACATTTTATGGCATTGCTGATAGTGTGTCCCTGGCAGAATAGGGATTTGGACAAGAGTTTCCCAGATCCTTGTCCCACACTCTAACCAATACACCATGCTGCTATAAGTGTGATATGCGCTAACAGTTTGAGGAGAAATGTAGGAGTGTTTCCCACTTCCCTATTCCTCAGGAAGAACAGCCATAATCTGTTTTAAATGTCTCTGTGCCCCTTTAGAGACCCTCCGCTAGGGAAGTTGAACACAGGACAAGCCGCTGCAGTCTTTCCTGCCCTTCAAGTGCCAATTTCCTGGTGCTGGTCAGGAACAAGGAGCCAGCTGAAAGATTTTCCAGCTAATGTGCCAGTAAGGAGAAGGTTGACTCCTATATGAGAGTTCTGCAGCAGGACAGGGGTTTTAAATGAGAGAAAATAGGGTTTCGTCCCAGTTCTTTGGTTGCAGTGGATGCCTTCAGCTTCCCGCTCAGCTCCACACCTGTGCCCCCTTTCACTCTTTTCATGCAGGGGCTCCGGGTATGTGCGGACATACCCCATGATCTGCAGCAGCACCATACTCCCAGCAATGTATACCTGCAGTAGTCTTGTCAGCTGCAGTGATCGCATGGTTACTTCCCAGGGCAAGCATCACAGCTTCAGCGGAGGCCTCTCGGGAATTTGCCCCATAAGCAAGGCTTGCTTGCATTTATAGCTACACTGCAAAGTCCCATTATGTGGGAGCAGGGACCATATATATATATATATATCCTGATTGTCTTCCTATTGGGGATCCAAAGCAGGTTTCAACATCCTTCTCCACAACAACAACCCTAAGCCCAAGGCAGTCAGTGAGCTTCCATAGCAGAGTCGGTCTCCCTAATCAGACACTCCAACCACTGCAACATGCTGACTAGTGAATGACAGAAGGAGGGGGAATAGAAAGCAAAGGCTGTAGAACGAAGGACTTAGAAGGTGAAATTGTGTATAGGGGACAGAAATGAATTCCTCTGGAAGCTTTGCTCAGTGCCCCCCCCCCCCCCACTTTTCTTGCCAGCAGCAGGTCTGTACATCCTCCTCTGCCAAGCTTTTCTCCACAGTACTTTTATGGCTAGAAATGTGCTTCCTTTCAAAATTAAAGCTGTTTCTCAAGAGGCAGATTGTCCCACTTGCTAACTGGCTTCATGTTTGCATATGCAGTCATCCCTGCTCATTTCACGATGTGAACTTTTCTTATTCTTCTGTTGCTCTTGGTGTCAATGGTAGCTGGTGGTAAGAAAGTCCTGGGAAGATTACCATAAGTATTCTGATCTCCTGAACCCCAAAGAGAGGTCACTTTAGGATAATAAACTGCATTAAAATATAAATGAAAAGAAATCCTGTAATTTTTTTTCCTAGCAAGAATTATCCCCTAAAGAGCTTCAGGGAAGAAAAGATGGATGTAAGTACAGTAAAAATGGATAATTCTCAGAGGCGACTGCCCAGAGCTTTGCTAATTGACTGGAGAATCCTATTTTGTGAGCCTGGGGGGATACACCAGGCTTCTGAAAAGACCCATTGGTCTCGGGGATTAATGCACTTGGAAGGGCTGTCCAGTAGAACAAGAATTCTGTGTTTTTATCTCATTGCATGACGTGTTTCCTAGAGTAATTGTTAAAGCAAGTATTTTGTTTTAGTTATCGTTTGTGATTCCGTTTGTTTCTTCCAATAGAAAAAGTTGTAAATACACTAAAGAATGTGTTTGATCAACGGAGTGCTCTCAGGTGCCTGTGAGACCACAAAGCAAATAGAAGAAACTGCTGCAAATGTTTACCAGAGCAAACAGTGATGGCTGCGTGTTAAAATGCAGCTTCTTCTACTTTGCACTGCAGTTGGGCTAAATGCACAGGATAAAAGGGAGAGGATTGCTAGGCAGTGGGGTAGGGGTTAGGTTTGCTTACATTTTGAGCCACGACATGTCTTGAGTGCCTTTTAAAAAATAATTTTACTGCGTTTGTACCCTGCCTTTCTCCCCAGTGGGGGACCTAAAGCATTCTCTCCTCCATTTTAGCCTCACAATAACCATGTGAAGGAGGTTAGGATGACTAACCCAAAGTCACTCAGCAAGCTCCATAGCACTGTGGGGATTCAAGCCTGGGTCTCCCAAATTCTAGTCTGTTGCTCTAACCACTACACCATAGTGGCATAACCAATGTTTAAGTGGCACCCATGCCACTCATCCATATCCCTGTGTTACAGCACAGAAGTTTTGTTCTGGTTGGGTGGAAGACTGGCATGCCAATATACAGATAATTTTTAAAAAGTGCACTCCTCTGCAGATGATTTGGCCCTACTATAATAGCAAAGAGAAAATAGTTGTGTGCGTATGTTAAGTGCCGTCAAATCACTTCACAAGCAGCCCTATGAACTAATGGCCTCAAAAGCGTTCTATCATGAACAGCCTTGCTCAGGTCTTGGAAAGTGAGGGCCCTTGTGGCTTCCTTGATTGAGTCAATCCATCTCATGTTGGGTCTTCCTCTTTTCCTGCTGCCTTCAACTTTTCCTAGTGTTATTGTCTTTTCCAGTGAGTCTTGTCTTCTCATACTGTAACCAAAACACAATAATCTCAGTTTGGTCATTTTCGTTTCTAGGGAGACTTCAGACTTGGTTTGATCTAGAACCCACTTATTTGTCTTTTGGGCAGTCCACAGTATCTGTAAAACTCTCCTCCAAGACCACATTTCAAATGAGTCAACTTTCTTCCTGTCAGCTGTCTTCATTGTCCAACTTCCACACCCCTTCATAGTACCAGGGAGTACTTGCGTGGGTCTTTTCTAGCTCCTTCATGGCTGCCCTTCCCAGGCAGTGGCTTCCTGTGGGAGCCAGTGACTGTTTTTCCTTTGACTACACAAGTTTGAAGGGAAACAGTTACCAATTCAAAGGCCCTCTGTAGTCAAAACTGTCACTGGCTCTGGCAGGGCAGGAGTAGTGTGGGTGGGGAATTGGGCTTTCTGTAGTCAGATAACCCACACTGGCAGACTTGGAAAGAAAACACTCCAGATTTTTAAACACAATCCCCTGTCTGGGCATAAGTTACCCAGCAGGGATGCCCTCAATATCACAAGATAAATACTTACTGAATAAATGTGGGAGAGAACAAAGTGAACCGGGGATGCAGTGTAGGAGCACAAGGAGTGCTGGGGGCTGGCTAGGTCCTTGACAGTGTGAGAAGGAATTCCCTCTGTGATGAGGAGGGGAAATTTGCCACTCACTTCCAAATTGAGAGGACTTTGTGCTTTGTGTCACTCAATTCTGCCTCCAATAGTAGCCAAACAGCTGCCGCTGGGAAACCAGGCAGGGAGATCTATGAAGGTTGCTTGCTCCAGTCAACTGCCGTGTTAGTCTATCGTAGTAAAACAAAACAGAAGTCTAGTGGCACCTTAAAGGTGAATAGCATTTATTCCAGCCTGGGCTTTGTTTGAAGTCCAGTGACACTTTAAAGAGGGTTCCATTTTGCTTGCCCCAGCTGCCAGTAATTTGAGGTAGTTTGCGTCTCCATACACAGGGAAGTTTTCACTGTCATGACAAACAGCCGTTGCCAGATGTATCCTGTGTGAATCCTTGAAACACCAGCCAGTCTCTAGCTGCAATGAGTCTTCTATGTTAAGTATGTAGGTCACTTCATCACTTACGTATTTTCGGCCAGTTGACTGCTGAACTTGAACTCTAAACATTGAAAGAGTGCAAGGAAATCCCCCCCCCCCCGTTTATAGTGCAGCGGAGGCCAATTGGATGCAAGCTCCTATTGCCTCAAAATTAGCATTTGTCCCGGCCTTCCCAAGCTGCGCGTGTCTCGCTGGTTCTGCCTGAGCCTCCACCGGTGGCTCATTTTACTGCAGGGCCAATGCCTCCTTCAGCTATGCGGCTATGGCTTCAGCCAGCAGGGGCGTCTGTGCTGTAAAAGGACAAGGTGGGGAAACGGGCTTTAAATAGGATGGAGCCAGCAGCTGAGGAATTGAGGTCAGCACAACCTGGAGCTTCCGAAAGAGAGAGGAACAGCGGGAGGAGGAAA